AAGGTCAGCAAAAAAGGGGAAGACTCTCAACAAGATGGACAAACACAGTGACTGCAATGCTGGGCTCAAGTATAATAAGAAGGATTGTGAGAATGGCATACAACCAGGCAGTGTTTCATTCTGTTGTACATAGGATCACTATGAGTTGAAATAGACTCAACGGCACCTAACAATAACAGCAACAAAGCTGTGCCTAAGGCCTCTGACTGCTAACCAGAAAGTTGTCGGTTCAAACCCACCAGCTACTCCATGGAAAGAAGGTGGGGCATTCTATTTGTGTAGAGATTTGAAAACCCAGTGGGGGTTGCTATGAGTCAGAATCAACTCAACTTAGTGGTTTTAGTTTGTTTTTTAAAGCACCCATGAAAGAGGTGAGAGGGGACCTTAGAAAACTACATGTATTCCCAGGGCAAAACACACTCAGAGAAGTCCTGAAGAAACCCTAAGCTTTCACTTTGGGGTGACTTGTAGACTCAATATTAAGCTTGGCTAAGTGTTAAAGGAATGCCCCAGCACAGAGCCAATTTGAAAAGAGTAGGAGAGGTGATTTTATTCTGTTGTTGATTTTTGTTATTGAGTTCTTCCATCCACCATTCCTTCCTCATTCCTCCTCTGTTTTTTGGCTCTGGCATTCAAGGAAATCTCTGTCATAACACTACTAAACACAAACTAAAGAAACAAGAAACTTCAGTGACCACCCACATGAAGGTACATAGTCTTTGCAAAAATAGTTTGGATGAGTCACTAAACCAGGGAATCACCATAGTCTTCAACACTGAAAATGAAATAAAACCACTATCCAAGGAATCCCAGACATTGGACTTACTAGACAAAGACTTTAAAACATTGGCTTTAGTATGCTCAAATAGCTAAAGGATAATATGAACAAAGAACTAAAGGAAATAAGGAAAATGATATAAGAATAAGATGAAAATATCTATAAAGGGATACAAATGATAAAAGAAAACAAATAGAAATTACAGCTCAGAAATACAATAACTGAAATGAAAAATTCACTGTGGGCCTTCAACAGCAGATTTGATCTGGCAGAAGAAAAAATTAGTAAAGTTTTAGACAAGAAATTTGAAATTATCAAGTGTTAGAAAGAAAAAAAATGCAGGGAAGTTAGCAGAGTGTAAGGAGTTTGTGGGACACTGTCAAGCTGATCAAGACATGCATTATGGAGTTTTTGGAAGAAGAGAAAAAGACAGGGGCAGAAAGAATATTTGAAGAAATAATAGCTGAAAATAGCCCTAATTTGATGGAAGACATTAATCTACACATCCAAAAAGTTCCAAGAACTCCAAGTAGGACAAACTAGAATATATCCACACATTATAATCAAACTTTCAAAAACTAAAGATGAAGAGGGGATCTTGAATCATCTCATACAAGGAATTCTCAGTAAAATTAATTGCAAATTTCTCCTCAGAAACCATGGAAGCCAGAAGGTGGTGGGTGGGATGACATATTTAAAGTGCTGAAAGAATATAACTGTCAACTAAGTATTCTATATTCAGCAAAACCCTCCTTCAAAAATGAGGGTGAAGTTAAGATGCTTACAGAGTATAAGCAAAAGCTGTGGGACTTCATTAGCACTAAACTCTTTAAGAAATGCTCAAGAAAGCCCTTCAGGTTGAAATGAAGGAATACTAGGCAGTAACTCTCAGTAGAGTTAGAAAGAAAGATCTCTGGTAAAGGTAATCATATGGGAAAATATAAAAACCAGTATTATTATGTCTTTGGTTTGTTAACTCCACTTTTTATGTTCTATGTGGCTTAGAAGAAACATGCCTAAAAAATAATTATAAATCTATGTTCTTGAGCACATATAAATACAGATGTGATCTGGATAACAACGTAAAAGGAAGGGGACAGAGCTGCACAAGGACAGCACTTACATATATGTGACATGAAGTTAAGACAGTATCAAACTAGATCATAAATTTAGAATGTTGCTTAAGCAGCTTCTTTAGAAAGATCACCACAAGGCTGGTCCCTATGAGGCAGAGGTTAAAGATGTCCCAAATGTCCAACTTTTCCAAATTGCTGTACCACTCCCTCATCTCTAACATCAACTACTCCTCCTTCCCTCAGTACCCTCTCTCTTATATTGTTGTTGTTGTTGTTGTGTGCCGTCGAGTCGGCCCCGACTCATAGCGACCCCTCCTTGGGTTTCCGAGGCAGTATCACTACGGAAGTAGGATTGCCCAACCTTCCTTCCGAGGAGTGGCTGGTGGGTTTGAACCGCCAGCCTTCTGGTTAGCAGTCAAGTGCTTTAGCCACTATGCTACCAGAGCTCTCTCATATTAGGGTTCTGTAATTCACTGTAATGTTTCACAGAACTCATGAACTGCCAAGGAAATGACTCACATGGTTATGGAGGCTGGCAAGTCCCAAATACATGGGTCAGTTGTCAGTCTGGAGGATTCTCCTCAGACACATGATTGCAGGGGCCAAAGAACCTAAATCAGCAGGTCCGATGACAGGCTGCTGTCTAAATTCCAAAAACTGGAGGTCAGATAATGACAAACCAGATAGAGAATCCAGAGCAAGAGAAAGAACTTTGGCAGAACATTCATATAGAGACTGCAGCCCATACTCTCCAGAAACTAGGAGTTGGTGACTTGAGTCATACCCTTTACTACAGCAGGGACTCAGTATAAATCCCACTTCATATCCTATTCAGAATAATCCTGCTTCATTAACATAATGGAAAACTCACTCTAAAATGGGACCATAACCACAGGTATGTTGTCATTGTTGTTAGGTACTGTCAAGTCAGCTCCAACTCATAGTGACCCTCTGTACAACAGAAAGAAACACTGCCTGGTCATGTGTCATCTTCACAATACTTGCTATACCTGAGCCCATCATTGCAGCCACTATGTCATTCCATCTTGTTGAGGGTCTTCACCTTTTTCGATGATCCTCCCCTTTACCAAGCATGACATCCTTCTCCAGGGAATGCTCCCTTCTGACCACATGACCAAAGTAGGTGAGACAAAGTCTGGCCATACTTACTTACAAGAAGCATTCCAACTGTACTTTTTCCTGGACAGATTTATTCATTCTTCTGGCAATCCATGGTACTTTCAGTATTCTTCACTAACACCACAACTCAAAAGCACCAACTCTTCTTTGGTCTTCCTTATTCACTGTCCAATTTTCACATGCATTTGAGGCAAATGAAAATATTATGGCTTGGGTTAGGCACACCTTAGTCTTCAAAGAGACATCTTTGCTCTTCAGTGTTTTAAAGAGGTCTTTTGCAGATTTGCCCAGTGCAATATGATGTCTGTTATCTTGACTGCTGCTTCCACTGGTGTTTATTGTGGATCCAATCAATATGAAATCTTTGACAACTTCAATCTTTTCTCCATTTATCATGATACTGCTTATTGGTCTGGTTGTGAAGATTCCTGTTTTATGCTGAGGTGTAATCCATACTGCAGGATGTAGTCTCTGATCTTCATCAATGAGTGCTTCAAGTCACCTTCTCTTTCAGCAAGCAAGGTTGTGTCATCTGCATATTGCAGGTTGTTAATCAGTCTTCCCCCACCAGCCACTTCTTGGAAGGAAGGTTGGGAAATCTACTTCCATAGTGATATGACCTTGGAAACCCAAGGAGAGGTCTCTATGAGTCGCGGCCGACTCCACGGCACGAAACAACAAAAAATCAGTCTTCCTCCAATCCTAATGCTACGTTCTTCTTCATATAGTCCAGCTTCTCAGGTTATTTGCTTAGCATACAGATTGAATAAATAAGATGAAAGGATACAACCCTGATGTACACCCTTCCTGATTTTAAAATATGCAATATCTCATTGTTCTGGTCAAATGGCAGCCTCTTGGTCTATATTCAGTTTCCTCATGAGCACAATTAAGTGTTCTGGAATTCCCCTTCTTAATATTATCCATAATTTATTATTATCCACACAGCTGAGTGCTCTTAAAAAATTATTATTGTGATTTGGGTGAAAGTTTACAGAGCAAATTCATTTTCCATACAGCAGCTCACATATACTTTGTCTCATGACATTGACTCCAATTTCCCACAACGCAACAACTTTCTGCCCAGTTCCTCCCCATAGTTATCTCTTCCTATGCACTGCTCCCCAACCCCCCAAGCTGTCTCCGTGTGCAAACACTGCCCTGCTATTCTCCTATAATTGATCTCTCCAAGGAGTGTACTACCTAATGTCAATGTTCAGCTTATATGCCTGTCTTCTGTTTGACTGGCAGCCACAGGAGTGGGTTCAATTCCAGACCTGAGGGCAGCTAGGGGCCATAGTCTCAGGGGTTTGACCAAGCTCTATCAGAACAGCAAACCTAGTCCCCCCCTTTTTTTTTTTTTTAAATGATTTGGACTTTTGTTCTACATTGTTCTCCCACTCTATCCAGAATCAGCTGAGTGCTCTTTGCATAGTCAGTACAAAACAAATTAACATGTTTCTGGTATTTTTTGCTTTCAGCCAAGATCCATCTGACATAAGCAATGATATCCCTTGTTCCACATCCTCTCTGAATACAACTTGTACTTCCGGCAGTTCTCTGTCAATATACTGCTGAAACAATTTTTGAATTATCTTCAGCAAAATTTTACTCGCATGTGGTGTGAATGATACTGTTTGATAACTTCCACATTCTGTTGGATCACTTTTCTTTGGAACGGGTACAAATATAGATCTCTTCCAGTCAGTTGGCCAGGTGGCTGTCTTCCAATTTCTTGGTATAGATGAATAAGTGTCTCCACGGAATGTTTGTAGAAACATCTCACTGGAAAACATCAATTCCTGGAGGCTTGTTTTTCACCAATTCCTTCAGTACAGCTTGGACGTCTACCCTCAAAACCATTGGTTCTTGATCATATGTTACCTTGTGAATTGGATGAAAATGGACCAATTCTTTTTTGTACAGTGACTGTGTATTTCTTCCATCTTCTTTTGATGTTTCCTGCATCATTCAATATTTTGCCTATAGAACCTTTCTATTGTAACTTGAGGCTTGAATTTTTCTTCAGTTCTTTCAGCTTGGGGATTGCCAAGGGTGTTCTTTTCTTTTGGTTTTCTAACTCCTGGTCATTGCACATTTCATTATAATTGACTTTGTCTTCTTGAGTTCCTCTTTTAAATCTTCTGTTCAGCTCTTTTATCTTGTCATTGTTTTCATTTGCATTAGCTACTCTCCTTTCAAGAGCAAGTTTCAGAGTCTCTTCTGATACCCATTTTGGTCTTTTCTTCCTTTCTTGTCCTTCCAATGATCTCTTACTTTCTTCATGTATATTCTTGATGTCATCCCACAACTTATCTTGTTTTCATTCACTGGTGTTCAATGCATCAAATCTGTTCTTCAGATGGTCTCTAAATTCAGGAGGGATATAGTCAAGATCATATTTTGCCTCTTATGGATTTGTTTTAATCGTCTTCAGCTTCAAGTTGAACTTTGTTGTTGTTGTTATGTGCCGTTGAGTTGGCCCTGACTCATAGCGACCCCTCCTTGGGTTTCCGAGGCAGTATCACTACGGAAGTAGGATTACCCAACCTTCCTTCCGAGGAGTGGCTGGTGGGTTTGAACCACCAGCCTTCTGGTTAGCAGTCAAGTGCCTTAGCCACTATGCATGAGTAATTGATGCTGTGTTCCACAGTCAGCTCCTGGCCTTGTTTTGGCTGAAGATACTGAGCTTCTCCATAACCTCTTTCCACAAATGTAGTTGTTCTCATCCCTGTGAATTCCATCTGGTGAGGTCCATGTGTACAGGTGCCATTTATGTTGTTGAAAACAGGAATTTGCAATGAAAAAATCATTGGTCTTGCAAAACTCTATCATGAGATCTCTGGTGTCAATTCTATCATCAAAGCCATATTTTCCAAGTACCAGTGATTCTTATTTGTTTCCAACTTTTGCATTCCAATCACTAGTCATAATAAGTACATCTTGATTACATGTTTGGTCAATTTCAGACTGCAGAAGTTGGTAAAAATCTTCAATTTCCTTGTCTTGGCTTTAGTGGTTGGTGCGTAAATTTGAGTAACAGTAGTATTAACTGGTTTTCCTCGTAGGTATATGGCATTATCCTATCACTGACAGCAGTGTACTTCAGGATAGATCTTAAAACATTCCTTGTGACAATGAATGCCACACCATTCCTCTTCAATCTGTCATTCCCAGCATGGGATATCACATGATTGTTTGATTCAAACTGGCCAATACCAGTCCATTTCAGCTCACTAATGCCTAGGATTATCAACCTTTATGCATTCCATTTCATTTTTGACAACTTCCAATTTCCCTTCATTCATACTTCGTACCTTCCAAGTTCCAATTATTAATGGATGTTTGCAGCTGTTTCTGTTTTGAGTTGTGCCCCATCAGCAAATGGAGGTCCCAAAAGCTTTACCCCATGCACATAATTTAGGTTACCTCTACTTGAGGAGGCAGCTCCTCTCCAGTAATATTTTGAGTGCCTCCCAACCTGTGGGGCTTATCTTCCAGCACTATATTGGACAATGTTTTGGGCTACTCATAAAGTTTTCCAGCAACATATCAGACAGTGTTTCACTGCTATTCATAAGGTTTTCATTGGCCAATTCTTTGAGATATAGAGGGCCACTTCCTTCTTCCCAGACTGTCTTAGTCTGGAATCTCTGCTGAAACCTGGTCACCATGGGTGACCCTGCTGGTATCTGAAATACCGATGGCATAGTTTCCAGTTTCACAGGAACATGCTCCACCTCCCCTGCCTCCTACTCCACCAGGTGACTGGCAGGAGCACCTACCCTTGGGCAACCAGCAGGAATGCTCTCCATACCCTCACCTTGTAATAAATGGACATGCCCCTGCCCAGGGATGGTAGGTAGCTCACTACTAACACCTAACCCCAAAATATCCCCATAAACTAGCAGATATGATTCCCCTATACCTATAGTGAGACCCCTTGATCTCCCCCCACCTACTGAGATATTAATTGAAGCCTGCACAGAGGGCTGTCCTAGTCTATCTGGGTAGCACCACATTCCTGTGGCTATGAAAACAACCTTCCCTCATCTCCAGTGGACATATTAATTGCTAACACCAATGCAGAAGGACCATGCTGTAGTAGTTAAGTTTGTGCGTCAACTTGGCTGGGCCTGGTTGAATGGCTGGACAGCTGAATATAGTTATTCCCCATGGTGAGATTGGTAATTAACTTCATGGTGGAATCTACCAGAGCAGATGAATAGCTGCATTGGATATGTGGTCTGCTTCCCATATATAAGATGCTTTTAGAATGGTCTCTAGCTTATGGGACACTTGAACCCTCCATGTAGCCATGTCATTGTTCAGCAGCCTGCCATGCTCTGCCGACCTTGGGACTTTCAATGGACTTGAATTAATACCTGCTGTGTGGTTTGGTAACATCGGGACTATGCCTTTTTGTCAACCTTGGGCTTGTCAGCTTCAACAGCCATCAGCTGAGTGAAGAAAAGCTTCCAGCTTCAGTGGGCTGGGAGCAGGAGGCAGAGCTCAAGCCCAAGGTAGAAGGCTTTCACCCAGCCCCTAGAGCCTGATACTTGGAACTCACCTTAAAGCCTCCAAACTGTAAGTTAATAAACTCCTGTTTCTTCAAGCCATCCCATTTGTGGTATATTCTTGTCAGAGCAGTACTAGGTAACCAGAACACATGCCATCCCACAAGAGCTGTGGAGGGACTCTGACCAACCAACAATTGCCACCTCACATCAAGAAAAGGACCTGCTCATGTACTTCCAATCAATTCTGAAAGGGAAGACATGAGCACCTATAAATAAATAAAATTACACCTTAATGCCTCAGAGCAGCAGACAATAACCAACTATATGAAGAAACAAGATAAGAAGGCTCAAAAAAATGAGCAAGATCAAAGAACTGAAAACCTTCTAGAGGAAGAACTTTTAACAGAACTACCTAATAAGGAATTTAAAAGACTAATATTTAGGATCTTTAAAAAGATGAAATAAAACACAGGGAGATAAAATATTAAATGAATTTAGGAAAATAATACGAGAACAAAATGACAAACTCAACAGACAAATAGAAACCACACAAAACAACAACTAGACATTCAGAAGGAGAACAATGAAGTATCGGAAACAGGTAACTCAATGGAAGGATACAGAAGCAGAACTGAATCAGTGGAAAAAAAGAATCAGCAAAATAGAGGACAAATCCCATGAAACTAATTTGTTTGAAGAACAATCAGAAAAAAGACTGAAAAAAAAGGAAGATGGGGCAATCTACTTCCGTAGTGATACTGCCTCAGAAACCAAAGGAGGGGTCACTATGAGTTGGGTCCAACTCACCGGCACATAACACCACCACCACAAGGGGTTACATGGGACATACGGAAGAATCATTTACACATAATGCAAATTTCAGAAGAGGAAGAGAAAAGAAAACACAGAGAGAAGTTTTCAAGATATATTTGCATGACTTCCCATGATGGAGAAGCTCTGGTGGTGTAGTGCCTAAGGCATTTGACTGCTAACCAGAAGCAAGCAGTTCAAACCCACCAGCCACTCCTCAGAAGGAAGGTTGGGCAATCTACTTCTGTTGTGATACAAGCTTGGAAACCCGAGGAGGGGTTGCTATGAGTTGGATCTGACTCAACGGCAGTGAGTTTTCCATGATGGACTAGGCAGACAAGTTATCTACTCCCTCTACCACAAAGAAATAAGAAACCAACTGAAACAGATACAGAAGATAATCCTAGAACACTGAGCTTCAAAGGGAAGGATAAAGAAGTGGATTAAATATTGACTCAAACCCACCAGCCACTCCTTGGAAGGAAAGCAATCTACTTCTGTAGTGATACTGCCTTGGAAACCCAAGGAGGGGTTGCTATGAGTTGGATCTGACTTCACGGCAGTGAGTAAGGTTTTGGTTCAGTAGTAGAAGGATGTCGTGCTTGGTAAAGTGAAGGGTCAACGAAAGAGGGGAAAGCCCTTGATGAGATGGCTTGACACAGTGGCAGCAACAATGGGCTCATGCATAGCAAAGGTTATAAGGCTGCCATAGGACCACACAGTGTTCCGTTGTGTTGTACATAGGGTCACCATGAGTTGGAGCCAACTTGACAGCACCTAACAACAACAACAACAGTAGAACAAACTGAATGAAAACAGTGGATAAGGAGAGAAACAGGAGCTGTGGACTGTGGACTGGCCTGACGGCATGAACATGTTGAGTATTTGCAAGCAGCATTCCAATTGGGACAGTAACCTGATTAATTGGTTCTACTTGCCGAGGACTGCAAGGACAACAACGTTGGCTGGGGACCAGAAAGCTGCAATATTCCCCTTGTTCCCCTTGTACCCCACACTGTCCTGGTGAACAGAGGTGTGGCCATCTCTCACTGCCACCCACCTTGTGGACTGGCAGGAATTCCATCCTGGACTAGTGGCTCCCTACCACCAGCTGCTCTCTGATCAGGAAGGAAGTTGTTCTGGGACTAAGCACCCTGGTCCCAGCCACCTTCTGGGCCAAGAGGAACTTTTGAGAACAGGTACCTTACACCCAGACACCTTTTTTGGATGGATGGACCTTTTTCCAGGAATGAGACCCTATACCAAATTGCCTTTTGAGACAGCAGGAACTTTGTCTGGGACCAGATACCCTACCAATAGCTGCTTTTTTTGGGGCAGCAGGAACTCCCTCTGGGAACAGATGCCTTGCTTCCAGTCACTTTTGGACCAACAGGAACATTTTCTGAGTTCAGATGACCTGCCCACAGACACCTTCTGGGCCAGCAGGAACTCATCTAGGATCAGGCACCCTGCCCACAGTTGCCTGTTGGGTAGATAAGAACTAGTTCTGAGATCAGCTGCAAGAGGAATGTTTTCAGTCTCTCTCCATTGAGAATAATATCGGCTGTTGGTTTTGTGTATATGCCCTTAATTATGTAGAGGAATTTCCCCTCTATTCCTATTCTGTTGAGCATTTTTATCAAGTTAGGGTGTTGGATGATTTCAAATGCCTTTTCTGTGTC